CTGCATAATTATCACTATTTGACACATTGTCAAAGACTTTTGTAGAAAGAGCCTATTTTGGCCATTTTTGTGCATTTCATAAAGGATTTTGACTTAGATAAGCGTGTGTGTGTCATTTGTTGTAATTTTGGTGCCATGGTAACCACGTGTACCAAATGACAGCAGTTTTTTGATGGGTGAAATCTCTTACATATTTTTGAATTCTCATTTCTAGAACATCTTAAAACGATAATATTTGGAAATTTGAGCACAAAATTTTGGATAGAATAGTGTCATCTTTCCTCCTATTGCCAGTGTTAGTAACAAGAATCTTCGAGGTTAGCGTAAGGATTGAGTGCTAGCAACAATATCTACTGATTTTGAGACGGAAATAGGCAGATTCTAGCACTTTATATGAAGTCTTTAATCTTATTCAAGTCTAAATTTAAATTTTGGATGAACTAACTTCTGCACTTTTACATTAAAGAGCCTTCAAGAGAGTGAGGATTGCGAACTTCACGTGGGCCGTGAAATGATCGCTTCAATTGTGGGCCAGAATCGCGCCAACGAAGTGTTCGACAAAGTCCTCCAGTTGGTACTAGCGGATTGTGCGTACTTCGATGGTAGTCTCCCATTATACCATATTTGGTTGTATACGATATATTATTCATATGACATGCTTCTATTTTTTATTGATTTTAGAATACTGATGCCTCTTGGATAACAACTCCCTTTTGTAACTCGGATAAATTAGCTCTAAATTTGTAGTAATAGTAAAAGTAACTATAAGTGAACATTAATCAATCGCCTTTGGAATGCCTTTATTGTCACTCAACTTTAGGAGAAATCCATTTTGACCGGCGCTCTTTAAATCCTTTCATCAGATAATTGTTTATGTAAAAAAGTATTTTAGTAGAATAAATCGGCTAAACACTTTACATTAATTTTTTTATAATGTTATATCGACTGGAGATTATAATTTGCAAATTGCTTTTTACATATGGGTGCTTCTTTTTAAATAAATTCATTTTAAATAAATTCTCTCTCAAATATGAAGATTTTAGAGAGGGTTCGAGCTTTGTTTGAAATATCTTTAATTATATGGTTTCCATAAGTTAATTTATCCACATGTTGCTCATTCATTCGTGTGTCATACTTATCGGTGCGGAGTGCTTTCTCAGAGTCGCTATTGGTCCAAATCAGTACACCATTTTCAATCAAAACACAATTGCCCAATGTCTTGACAGTAGACAAGCGAACTTATGCACTATTTCGTAATTTACTGTAGTCTTGCATATAAGTTTATTTTTGTGTTCTCCTCGGTCCTATTCGAGTAGCATCAACGGATGTGTTCCACGCGGGAACAATTCAGGATAATACAGTTGGTGTAGATAAGAAATTCAATTTCGCTTAGTCAATTTGCTCAGCGAAAAAATAAGCAGTTACTGTTTGTAGCCCAAATGTACTTTAGCCATACGATACATGGTTTAAAGTGTAATAGTTACAAGTTGGAGAGGAAACAGCAGGTACAAAAAATATGGAGGTGTCATTCTCAAAAAGTGTGGATACCTCTGGAGCCCGAGTTACAATCTGTGTGCCTCTTTTTGATTGGCAATTTCAAGGTAATTCGAGACAATTGGACTGATTTTCTTAAGTTCTTTGCGCCTTCATGATCGCATATTTCAAAATCCGAATCTATTTCAAGAGACAATGTATTATTATAATACTTGGCTAGGAAAGCCGGTTTTGTTTCCTTAGTTGTGGCAAATCATTGAAAGAGTGGTGTTGGTCCAACTTCAGCCAGAGAAAACCAAAATTTTGAGACAGAGGAAACCCCTAAAATACAACTTCTTCTTGAAACGAAATTCGGAACAAAGGCAGTAATATCAGGATTACAAATAAATCCTCCTCTTAATTAATGTAAAAAATATAGCAGATATTGAAATTCGAAAGGGGAATATTATTTTCGTCCACTATTGCTTTCCACCGTTGAACGTTCTCCAGTAATCTTACAAAATATTGTGGGAAACACGATCTTAGACGAATTATTTTTTTGAAAAATGCACCCAACCGCACTCACACGTGTCTCACAGTAGACTGATACCACCGACTCGATGAGGCGAAGGCTATAGACGTATTGAACACGATGCAAACGACAATAGTACATTCACTTACGAGCCTGGTACCAAAGGAGCTTATTTCGAGGGGACCGTATGATCCTGATGGGCTTTAAAGGGATAATCTCATGCTTGCTCGAACATTCTGGAACGCGAGACAGCTTAGCTAATTTCGAGAATCATAACATACAATGGGATTCTGCCATGGAGATTACAGAGGACAAGTCAGGGCTTATTCGTGTAGCAATCCACTAAAACTTCCTTCTACTTAATAACAATATTTTGTTTAGGTCTTACTACAAAAAGATGACTAATCACCGAAGCTACTATACTATATTCAATGTCCCATCTTAAAAGAAATTAACACAGGTGATTGGAAAATAGATGTTCAAGTTCAAAGGCAGATGATAACGAAAGTGGAACATGATCAGATATAGAGGTGGAAACCACTAATAACTGCTATATAAAGCTCAAAACCAAATGTTCTACAAGTCTCGAACAATTTGAGCGGCTGCTGGCAAACGATTGTTTGCTAATCGCATTTCAATTAAAATCCCGTGCACTGAGTGCTCATTTCTGGCTGCGCATTCTAATGAAAAGGGACTGATTAACAATTACGTTACTTGATGCTGAACATCAGGAGTTAATTCTCAAACTCCGTGCACATATTGACTATCCTAATCATCTATTTAGCTCGCCAGTTCTATTTGACTTGTTTTTATATGGTTGGCGCGGGGTGTGTGATAGACTTACTCCCACGTGGTGCACCCTGGGCGACGTATACTCACACGGCAAAAAAGTCAGTCATTCGGCAGTTGACTTCCGACTTCAAACTACCATCACCCCACTGTATGTCATATTCAACTACTTCCACAGTACTCACCTCACCTTTTCACTCTACCTTTGTGTCTGTCTCTTTTACACCTTTGAAACACTCTTCTGTTCCCCACCCCTCCCCCTCTCAACTTTTTGTCACTTTGATGTTCCTTCTCCTTTCTGTGAAGCCTGAAGTCGACTAAAGGGCTAATGATAACTACCAAATTGCCTGCCATTTGATATAAATAAATAATATGGTTGACACTTTTATATTAACCCGCCCCCCTCAACAGTCTTTCTTCACCTTATCACAATAAGGTTATTATTGCTACTCGATGAAAGATATCCGCCATTAATACGACGGTGCAATTAAGTGCTTACAGTACCTAATATTGCTTTACACCACTACCCCTATCGGAGTTCGGGAGGTAATAAGAATATTAAATTTAGGCTTAATCACTGTACTCTTTCGTTAATAATAACTTGTGCTTAAAATATCCAATCTTACAGGTTAGGGCTGGTTAAGATTACCATGTTATCTTAAGACACGCATTGGGATAAAAAAACAATCTTTGTAACTTTGGGGGAATGTCTATAAATGCGAAGCAAACTAGAAACTAATGCCTCGTTCCTGAGTCCCATTTCTATCCTAACTTATTTAATTTAACCGGCAGTTAACTTCTCACTTCAAACTACCATCACCCCACTCTATGTCATATTCGACCCCTACCACAGTACTCATCTTACATTTTCTCTGCCTTTGTGTCTGTCTCTTTTACAACTGTAAACCACTCTTCTGTTCCCCATCCCTCGACTTTCTGTCTACTTTGATGTTCTTTCCCCCTGTGAAGCCCGAAGTCAGCTAAAGGGCTAATGATAACTATCAAAACGCCTGCCATTTGAAATAAATAAATTAATTTAATTTAAAAATGAACTAAAACTACCTTTCGGCAGCCAATGAAAGAACGGGGGTGATAATTGTAGAAGAATGGTCTATTTGTAATTTCAAATTGTTAGTGTAGATATATTCAGCAAAGCGCTTCCAGTTTCCTTTAGCACAAAATCAATAAATACAACAATAAGAAAATCAATACATATATACTACAATTCCATACGAAATTCTCAAATTACAAAAACTAAAAATCAACTGATTGCTTCAATTTGAATTCTTCTTAGGCTAAAAGGAAAGAATAAAAAAGACGATTAGGGATTGATGTTCATTAAAATAATCTATAG